TGAACACAGTTGCTTTCCAGCTGTTCTCCAGCTGTTTTGCCTTTGGCTTCTTTTTGCCTCTTTGGGAATTGTGGTGTAATCTTTATAGGTTTCATCTCGACCGAAGAGCAGCAGCAGTCCTGTGCAGTTTGTGTTTCCGATGTTGTTGTGTGTTTTAGTTTGTCAGTGTTTACCTGTGACTCAGATCCAAATACAGAAGACTCAGCGATTGCCTCAGACTACCTGTCTCTCACCCGTCTCTCACCCGTCTCTCACCCGTCTCTCACCTCTCCCTCAGAGCAGCCGTTTGGCCTGTGACAGCAGTGTTTCATCAGGCGATGCCGAGCAGCTTCGCTCTCTCTGCTCCAAAGATCCGCTCTACGAGCTCTCGGAGCAGGAGAAGGACTTCCTCTGGAGACACAGGTGAGAATGAATGTAATGGAGTGAACACCCTGCAGGTGTATTTTTGGAGGCATGTCCTCTGAACGCTGTGACGTTCTGAACCCACAGTTAAACCTCTGATCCAGGAATATTTGAACAGGTCTAAATAGTCCCAGATTTACCTAACGTGATCTTTGACACAGAAACTTTCTAGACCTTTCTGTCTGTCTGATTTTAGATGTCTGGCAGCTTCACGTGACTCTCTCTGTTTGTGCATGTTCCTGTCCACCTGCCTTGTCTACCTGTCTCTCCCCATTTGTCCACCTGTGTCTCTGCCTGTCTGTATCTCTGCAGACATTACTGTGTAAACATCCCAGAGTCTCTCCCTAAGCTGCTTCTTTCTGTCAAATGGAACTCCAGAGACGAAGTTTCTCAGGTACCGAACTTCCCATCACAGTCAGGGAAAAATGCTTCAAACCCTCACTTTGACTCACCTGTCTCTCTGTCACCTGTCCCCTACCTCAGATGTACTGTCTGTTGAAGGAGTGGCCTCTGATGGAGCCCGAGTCGGCTCTCGAGTTGTTGGACTGTAACTTTCCCGACCCGATGGTCCGAGAGTTTGCGCTGCGCTGCCTCGTGCAGGGCCTGACGGATGACAAGCTGTCGCAGTACCTGTTGCAACTTGTACAGGTGCGTGTGGTAATGGTAAATGGTCTGCACACCTGCTGCTGTGTGCCTCACACAGGTTCCTCTGCAGCACACTGCAGACACACCTGGACTCCTCACCTGTCTGTGTACTACCTCAGATACATACACTTATCGTTCGTCTTTTGTCTCATGGTCTTTTCTGCAGGTGTTGAAGTATGAGATGTACCTGGACAATCCTTTGGCCCGTTTCCTCATAAAGAAAGCTCTGACCAATCAGAGGATAGGGCACTTCTTCTTCTGGCACCTGAAGTGAGTGCAAATGTCCTGGTGTTTACCTGAGGGATCGAACACGTCTGTTTGGCCATTTTTAATCTAACAGGAAGTGTTCTCACAGGTCAGAGATGCACAACAAGACGGTTTCCCGACGCTTCGGTCTGCTGCTGGAAGCTTTCTGCAGAGCCTGCGGGATGTACCTGAAGCACCTGAACAGACAGGTGAGCCCTGACACACCTGGTCTTCTGAGTCCAGTTCAACATGAGCTCCTTATCTAGTTTTTCTGAACCTAAGATCATCACCACACAACAAAAGTGTCTCTCAGCCCAGGATTTATCAGTCTACCTGTGAGGTAGTTCACAGGAACCAGGAAGCCTTGGAAGACCAATCAGAAGCATGGACACATACTCACAGGAAGTATCATCCTGGAACAATATTAGGAGGTTAAACACAGAATAGAGCGTGACAACAGCAGTGTCAGTGATTAACGAGGCTTCTCTCACCTGGTCGTTCGGTGTATAACTGAGCTACTAACACACCTGTGTGTGTGTGTGTGTGTGTGCAGGTAGAGGCCATGGATAAACTGGTGAATCTGACCGACACACTGAAGCAGGAGAAGAAGGACGAGACTCAGAAAGTATGAAAACAAACAAAGCAACTTAAATCTGACTTGTGATTGGCTGACGGTGACGTGTGTTTCTGTACTGCGATTGGTTGTCAGACTCAGATGAAGTTTCTGGTTGAGCACATGTCTCGTCCAGATTACATGGAAGCTCTGCAGGGATTCGTCTCTCCACTGAATCCAGTTCACCAGCTGGGAAACCTCAGGTAGGCATAACTGGTTAAATAACTGCAGGACTTTCTACCTGACCGATCATTGCATGACCAGATCTTTGAGTGTGTGTGACTATGACTAAGATCAGTGTGGATATTTATAGCTCTTGGTAGTGAAATATGTTTTTCTAAATATAAAAGTGATTCATCTGCATATTGACTGACTTTAAGTGTTTTATTCTTTAAAGATCTTCCTGACTGCATCAGCGTGTTTTCAGCAACAAAGTAAAACAATTTTTAAAAAGTGTCGTGTGCTTTTAGGCTGGAGGAGTGCAGGATCATGTCCTCGGCAAAGCGCCCCCTGTGGCTGAACTGGGAAAACCCTGACATCATGTCCGAGCTTCTCTTCACCAACAACGAGATCATCTTCAAGAACGGAGATGGTAACGAGTTCGGCGCTAACTGTATTACTGCTGTTTACAGCTGTGCCAGGGCACTGTGGGTAACGTAGTGTGTTCTGTTACAGACCTGCGTCAGGATATGCTAACGTTGCAGATTATTAAAATCATGGAGAACATCTGGCAGAACCAGGGTCTGGACCTGCGGTGAGTACCCGTGACATTAGCTGTGACGTCACACCAACACCTGGCTAACGGAGCGTGTGTTTGTGTGTTAGCATGCTGCCCTATGGATGCCTCTCCATCGGTGACTGTGTGGGTCTGATCGAGGTTGTGAAGAACAGCTTCACCATCATGCAGATTCAGTGCAAGGGAGGCCTGAAGGGGGCGCTGCAGTTCAACTCCAACACGCTGCATCACTGGATCAAAGACAAGAACCGCGGCGAAGCGTGAGCACTCCCCTCTGCACACCTGTTTGCATGAACACCTGTCTGCCCTCTGCTCACTTCCTGTCTGTCCCACAGGTACGATCGGGCCATCGACCTGTTCACGCGCTCGTGTGCTGGTTACTGCGTTGCCACGTTCATCCTGGGAATCGGAGACCGCCACAACTCCAACATTATGGTGAAAGAGAATGGACAGGTGAGCCTCTGACCCCACGCCCTCACAGCGCTTCCTGGGACTGCAGCCGCCTAACTCTTTGTCTGCCTCCTCCAGCTGTTCCACATTGACTTCGGTCACTTCCTGGATCACAAGAAGAAGAAATTTGGCTACAAGAGGGAGCGTGTACCCTTTGTCCTTACTCAGGACTTCCTCATCGTCATTAGTAAAGGCATCCAGGAGTCCACCAAGACCAAGGAGTTCGAGAGGTGCCCTGTCCCTCCTCTTTGCACCTCCTCCTGTCTCCCTCTGAGCCCGCCTCACTCTCTGTCTACCTGTTTAGGTTCCAGGAGATGTGCTACAAAGCATACCTCGCCATCCGTCAGCACGCCAGCCTCTTCATCAATCTCTTCTCCCTTATGCTGGGTTGCGGGATGCCTGAACTGCAGAGCTTTGATGACATTGCCTACCTGAGGAAAACCCTGGCCCTGGGTAAGACTGGAGTGACGGACGGGCAGGAGACAGGTGGTGTTATGATGCTGTAGATGTCTAGAACTCCACCAATCCATGGTGGCAGCAGAGTGCCTGTTCTAAGCAACCATCTCCTGCCCATCACAGGGACTCAGTTCAGTACTTGGAATTGTCTGTAATCTGTCTGTCTGCAACCCGTCTGTCTGTAACCCGTCTGTAACCCGTCTGTCTGTAACCCGTCTGTCTGTAACCCGTCTGTCTGTAACCCGTCTGTAACCCGTCTGTCTGTAACCCGTCTGTCTGTAACCC